TCTGTAAGAAAGCCTCAAGGAGCCATAAAAGTCCCACATGCTCTATTTTTGCCTTTCAAACTCCTTCCAGTTTCTGTCTTACTGCTACAGTGAGAGCAACAAACCTCCCAAACCCCCTAAAATACAGTAAAACTCCCCCTCTCCCCAAGCTCTCCCAGTTTCCTCTGCCCAGCCCGGCTTCTGGGGCAGCCTCAAGAGCAGCGCTCGAGCCCAGCCGGGGCGACAGCTCGGCGACGCTCCTTTCTGCTTCCTTGTGATTTATGACCCGCGTCGAAGCCAAAAAAGCAACGTCACAAATAAATAAATAAATTCAGTTTGACGAATGCTTTTTTTCCCCGGCTGCGATTGCCTGCTGGGAGCTGCCAAGAGGGAGAGAACGGCTGCAGGGAAGCGATGTTCTCCTCAGCTCCACAGACCTCCTTGGCAGCTCCAGAAAGCGGATGCGGGGACAACTGTCTCCACCTCATCTCAAATAATTTTGTTTTTCCCCCTATTTATTTTTCCTTTGTTTCTTTGAGATGTTCCCCAAGAGAGGAAAGGGATAGATGCTGGAGACATTGAGAGACATGGCTCAGCATCAAAGATGCAACAGCTCGGGGTACCACCTGCTTCTCTCCCCTCTGCGCCTCCTCCGGCATCTGACGGAGGTTAATTTTACCGTTATTATAAATTATTATTAATAATACGGACACCCACCAGTGCAGCCATGCTGGCTGGTTGGTGTGAGACCTCCCCTGGTGCTTTGGGGCCAAGTAGAGCAGAAAAACCTCAAGCTCGGTGAAGCACGGTTATGGCAGGTTTAACACCAGCACACCCTGGTGGGTTTTCCCACCTCCCAATTTTACAGGTTTGGGCAAATCAAGTTTTGAGCCCAAAGTGACCTCCCCCTGGCTCCACAGCTCCTTAGCTACTTGCAGAAACCCCCATTTGCTGGGCTGTTGCCCTCAGCTTCTTTCCCAGATGCTCTCGGGATCCCTGAAGGGTTTTGAAGAAAATCACGAGCCAAAGGATGGCAGAAGAGATGTCCTAGATCCTTTAGGGAGCTCCTCTGGCAGGAGGTGCAAACAGTAAGGACCTCAATAAATAGACCCAAAACACATCTTATCTCCTGAATGAGGTGACGACACAGAGGGTGGTGCCCAGTTTGAGACACCCCCAAACGGGACCATCAAAGGCTGAGCATCCTTCATTTCTGGAAGGCCACCAGCCTTCCAGAAAGCCCGAATCCCTTGGTCTCTTCAGAAAAACGTGCTCAAAAACACCGCCAGGACTCATTTATTAAAAAGAAAAATCTGAAAGCATCCACCCCAGCCACCGATGGTTTTGCCTGATATGGGCTTGTTTGTTTTCAAACACCCACGGCTATAAAACAATTACTACTTTCACAATAGCAACTTTCTTATTAAAAAAGGAAAAGGAGGGGAGGGAAAAAAAAAAAAAAATCAGTCCAGGCCCTTTATTTTTCCATGCCTATTTAAAAAAGGTGCCGTGTAACCCACAGCAACCAGAGGTTATACATCAAATTTCCTGCCTGCTCCCAGCTTGCGTGACTGGCAGAGCGAGGGGGTGGCCGGGCCATCGCCGAGGTGGTTGCCGATTTTTGGCAGAGTGAGGTTTCGGCAGGTTTCCAGGTTGAACGGGGAGCAGGTTTGCAGGCAATGGAAAGAGGCCAGAGGAAATAGCCCTGTCTTAATCCCTACAGAGGATAGGTAAGGTTTCCATCGCAAAAATAATCTGAATTATAACAGGAGGAGCTCCCTGGAGGAGCACGTGGCATCTGGCTGCAGGCTTGCAGGGAAAAGAGATGCGGAGGAAACATCTCCACATTTCTGTATTTTCAGTAGTATCTTTGAAAAAAGCTCCTCATCAAAAGGCAAAGAAGATCGGGTTGCTGTCTGGAAAAGCAAGAGGCTGTCATCGTCCCTCGTTTACCCGTCAATCTGCCCACGGATCAGTGGTGTTTTCCTCCTGCGCTGGAAGCAACCCCGGTCGACAGGCACCCACTGGCAGCTGCCACAGCTCAGCCCCTGGGAAACCCCCAGCAAGGTCACCCAGTAACTAGTGACCGGTTTAAACACACAAAAGTGCTGAATCGCGGCGCGGTGTCCTGGAGATTAAAAAGCAAACAGCACCTGCACAGCTCCTGGGTGGCTGCACCAGGGATGGGAGTTTGCACATCCAAGCTCTGCTGCAAGGTTTATTGAAAATAAACCCTTTTCTGCTCTTCTTTCCTCAAAACACCAACCATCTTTGAGACAGTCAAAAGTCACCAGACTCCTCCTCTGGACACGGGGTACCAGCATCTCCTCGCTCCAGCCCCATGCAGCAGCAACACCGAGCGCGCACAGCCACCCCTTTGGGTCTCGACTTCCAAACACCACCCTTGGCCTCTTGGAAAATTCAGTTATTATGCATAAAAGGGTGCTGCAAGTTTTAGGAGAGCGACTGAAATGCGCAAGAGCAGAGCTGCAATGCATCTCGGCCCCTTCCCCTCTGCCAGCCTCCCATCGCTCCCGGTTATGTCACGGTGGGAGGAGGCTGACCCTGGCTGCTCCACACTGTGGGCTGGTCTTGGAGACCCCCAGTTGACCAACCAACAGGTTTACTCTGATTTACTACTTGGGTTTGTGTCTTTACTGCCTTACCACAGAGGTTGTGAGCTCGAGGTCAGAGCAAAAGCACTAAAGTCTTGGCCAACCAGGTGGGTGACACCACTCGACAAGCACAGCCCGTGCCCGAGCAGCTGCCCTCACCCCAATTTAACATGTTGAGTTAATTAAATCACACTCAAGTAAAACATTTTTTTCAGGTTACTGGCAGGCTTTTCTGTTTTTTTCAGCCCCGGGGCTGAGCCAGCAGCTCAGTGCAGGAGCACGTCCCGGACACGTCAACAGCCGCCCAGAGCAAATATTGACCCCCCAGCCGCGGGAATCCCTGTCAGTTAAACATTAACGAACGTGGCAGCGGGTCCTGCGGTCGGCCCGGCATCCCGGATCGTGCCCTGGGAGTCAGGATTCAGCCAAGTGAATCAGGTGGGTGTCAGAATGGGGCTGTTGGGAGATAGAGGATACATTGAATTTCCAATTTAAACTTATTTTCTTACTTTTTCAGAGTTCATCCTGCAAGTGATGATTGAGGCTAAAACCCTCTTGTGTGCCACTGCCCCATTCCGTGCCCCTCCTGCTCTCTCTCCCTGTCTTGGCATCACCAATCCTGCCTCTCCTGACCACACCGTGGGAGACAGTGACACTTCTGTCCCGGTTCAAGGAGCGGATCCTTCACTGGGAAGTGGTTTGGGGCAGCGATGGTCACTCCTAGCTCTCATTCTGCAGCCTGCAGAGACCCCAAACACTGGGGTCACCCTTTACTTGTCACCCTTTACTTGCTTCCCTGCACCACTAGGTCAGAAAAGAGGCTGGTGGGGACCTCCTCCTCCTCGTGCAAGATGTGGGCAGCTCAGTCACTGCTTCTGTTCCAGCAGCGTCTCATTTTAAATCATTTACAGGCCTGAAATATCAGACGTTTCCAGTCATCTGTGGTTTGTGCGGAGAAAACCAGTGGCCAAAGCCTGTGGCCGGCTTGCAGCAAGGTCATGGCTTCCCACCACGCTGCCCGAGTGTCAGAGAGGAGGGATGGTGGCCAGGTCCATTTTTCCCCACAGCACCACATTTTCCAAGGTTCTCCTATAAAACCGATGTGCCAAGGCCATGAAAAACAGCTTTTCTGAGACTTGAAGATTAATGGGGAAACTGAGAAGTACTTGGATGGTCCAGGCTTTCCTTACAAGCTACCTCTCTATACAGCCAGGCACGCAGGAGCAAAGCTCTCTGGTAGACCAGGAACCTTCAATCTCTTCACCAAACCACCCCAGGGCTCCCTCCATCAGAAGGCCTTTGAGCCCAAGCCCAGCTGCACACCACTGCTGATGGCAGACCTTCTGCCAGGCCAGGCCAGACAACCCAAGCACCTTTTCACGAGGTCACAGACATCTCAACCTCTGGATTTTGTGTGAACTTGCCACATGCCCACGCGTTGCGTTGACTTTCCAAGTTTTGGCCTCACAGGTCTAGACTTCGTAATTTTGCATTGCACGGGATTTCTCACCAATTTGGTTGAAAACAAAGGGAAAAAATGGGCAAGGAAGCAGAAGAGGCTGATTGCATCGGTGTCTCCAGAAGCTCAGTCTCAATGTCACATCCCAGCAGGAAGAAATGCTCTCTGGAGAGACGGAGCTCCAAAATAAGTCTGCAACATGGCACCTCCAAACTAGCATGCTCAAAGAAGTGAGTTTTCTCACCACAGCTATGCCACGAGAAGCCATTAACACCCTCACCTGGAGTTTGGCAGAGAAGCAGCTCAGGGCTTTCTACAAACCTTCTTCCGTGCTCATCTTCACATTCCAAATAGAGATTCATAGACTGGTTACGGTTGGAAAAGACTTTTCAGATCATCAAGTCTGACCACGACCCTAACTCTGCCAAGTCCACCACTAAACCATGCCTGGTGAGGACAGCAAGCCCAATATCCCAGGATGAGGATGGAGCAATGAACCAAGCATCCCCCCTGCACCCCGAAATGACCCCAGCACTCACCCGGCAGACGGACATCTGGTTGGTGGTGAGAGTGCCGGTCTTGTCGGAGCAGATGACGGAGGTGCAGCCCAGGGTCTCCACGGAGGGCAGGCTCCGGACGATGGCGTTCTTCTTGGCCATGCGGCGCGTGCCCAGCGCCAGGCAGGTGGTGATGACAGCCGGCAGGCCTTCGGGAATCGCGGCCACTGCCAGCGCCACCGAAATCTTGAAATAGTAGATGGCCCCTCGAAACCAGGAGCCGCCGTGGACGGGGTCGCTGAAGTGGCTGATGTTGATGACCCAGACAGCAATGCACACCAGGAAGATCACTTTGGAGAGCTGCTGGCTGAACTCATCCAGCTTCTGCTGCAACGGGGTCTTCTCAGGCTCCGTCTCCACCATCTGGTCTCGGATCTTGCCGATCTCGGTGTGCACCCCTGTTGCAATGACAATCCCTACGGCCTTCCCAGACGCGATGTTGGTGCCCTGGGAGGGAAGAAAGGGGCCAGAGTGGATAAGTGAGCACAAAACCTCTTGGTCTGATTGGGCAAATGGGTCACTTACTGTGAAGGTACAACATGAGATCTTGGCTAAAGGGAAAATGAGACTTCCAGGGATTTTATATAAACCCAAGCTAAAGCAGCAGGAAACCCTCCTGAGAGCTCCCTCGCCCCTCAAGGACTTGACTTCTGCCCGAGAGGAGCATGAGTAAGGAGGAAATCAAATTTTGTAGTAGCTCCAAGTTCAACTGCAAACTTTTTCCCCCATCCATAATGCACCCTACTTGATGGAAAAACCCACTGAGGTCATCCAAGGCATTTAAAGGCATCACGTGCCACAGCCCAAATTAAATTCAAACAAGCCAGATCCTTATTTTTATGGATTCGGGTCTTCCTTATGCGTGCACTCCCTTCCACTGCTCACAGATCTCCTGTGTCCATCAGCCTCTTCACTTGGTGGCTCTTTGGAAAACCACCGGAGAGGTGGGGACAGGCATAAGGGACTTACGGAGAAAAGCATGTTCTTCTTGTCCTGGTTGACGGCGCGGGGGTCAGGGATGGGGTCGGCATGTTTGATCACTGACACAGACTCCCCTGCCGAGACAAGAGGAGGGACATGAACCACGCGTGTCCCCCTTCCAACCCCCACCCACGGCTGTTATGACCCTGCATCACAACCCCCGTGGCTTTCTAAAGCGGCACCTTGCCACCAAACCATCAAAACATCCACTCTGGGCATATCTGAGCTGGCTTGAGGCACTCTGAAAATAAGAGCTGCAGAAAAACAAGTTTATATGTAGTTCTTTGCAGATTTGCACCTCCTTTTGCCCTTGGAGAACTAAGTTAACGCAGCGCTGTATTTCAAGGAGATTGGGCTCAGTTTCCCCATGTTCTTAACAATTTTTTTTTGCTTTTCCTCCCCTGCTGCCATCTCCTAACTCGATGGCTTTACAAAATCACACAAGAGAGCTGAAATACTAGAAGCCTTTTTTGACATCTGATCATTCATCAGCCTTCCCCGAGAGCAGAGAGAATTTTTGAAAGATCATTGATTATCAGCTTTAAGGGCTTTTCTAGCGCTTAAAAAAGCGATGGCTGACGGGGAGGGAGGTTGAGCAGCCCCTCGCGAAACCCCACGTGCCGCACGGGACAGCTTCGTGTCTCCCAGGAGGCATAACTCGAGCACCACGCCATGACTTTTAGATGATGCTGAGACCTCCTCCCAGGTCCTCAGCCTCATCCTCCCACCCCAGCAAAAGCACTTAAGCTCAGCGTCAGTCCCAAAATCCGGCTTGGGGCCGAGGGCAGAGGGCAAAGCTCTGCCTCCAGCAGCTGCCTCCACCCCAGCACGCACCTGTGAGGATGGACTGGTCGACTCGCAGCGTGGTGGACCGGATTTCGATGATGCGGATGTCCGCGGGCACCTTGTCACCAACTGCAGGGACAAGAGAAGAGCAGCTCCGTCAGGCAGGACCGGCAGCGCCCGCCACCCCGGGAAATCCCCAACGGGTCTCCTCTCGATTTCTGTTTTCATTTTTTTTTGCAGTGGCTGGCTTTTCCTGAGAATCCCCACATACCCCACGTGCAAGTGCACTCCCAGCTGACAGCAACGAGGTGCCCAGCTCTTGGCAAACCAGGATCCTGCCCCGGGATGCCTCCTTTTCTGCATTTAAAGCTTCACTTTGTATGCTGATAATTATCAAGTCAAAAAAAAAGCAAGCTGGAAAGAGGCACCACGAGTTGCAGCCAGACATTGGGCAGTGCACTGAGGGGATCTCGAGGAATTTTTCATTTTAGGGGTTCTCTTGCACCAAAGCAGCCAGCCCGGGGAGCGACGAGAGGGTTAGTCGTGCCGTGCCAGACACCCTCCACCCTTTCCCATGGACTGAGTGCTGGGCTCAAGCATCACCTCCCTCTGCAAAGTGAGAAATGAGTCTGTCTCATCCCTGCTGCTCCAGGATGCTGCTGGGGGTGCCTGTCACCTTTCCCAGCTGCCACCCCAAAACCAACTGTGGTTTGAGCAGGTTTGCCGGAACAAAAAGCAAAGGCAGGAGCTGTGGGGTGAGCAGAGGACCTGAGTGGGCACCTGCATCCCTCCTCTTGCCAGCGAGTGGGCAGGAGGGCAGTATCTTTTCATTTTGGAGTTAGAGGTGCAGGGTCCTTGTGGCAGGAGGACCCCCACACTCTCTCCTCTGGACAAACCTTGGCGAGGCTCTGCCTGCTGCCCCACCACGTTCCCATCTCTCCTCCTCCCTGCAAAACCCACACACCTCCCCCACCTTGCACCTTCCCTGCAAAAAAACCCCAAAACATCCCCACTTTGGAGCATCCCAAACCTCCAAACACCATTCTTAACCCTGCTTCAGGGCTCCAGCTGGAAGTTGTAGGCACTGGAAGACCTTTTGCGGCTGAGAGAATCACCCACGGGTCTCCTGGCACGGCACAGTGACGACAGCAGGTTCATCAACTGACAGCCACCGATCGCATGTGTTTCCTTGAAAAAAATGATTTAAAGCTGCTTTTCCCACCCACTGGGTTTCTTCCTCCAGACTCTTCCTCCTGCTCCCTTATGGGCTGGATGGACCCGTGCTCTGGTGCTTCAGAAATACTGAGGCAGAGCGAGCGCTGGCTCGTGGCGCCTCACATCACGTTACACGGCTCCGCTGGCTTGGCTGCTAACGATCCTCTCAAATCCCAGACTTTAACAAGCGCTTCCTCCGGGGGCTCGTAAACCCCCCTCACCCCAGCGCAGCAGGAGGGGGAACTGGCACCGCTCCACAGCCCAAACATTTCTTCCAGCTGTAGCTCCTCATGCAATATCTGCCCTCCAGCCAGACCTGCGCTGCTCCCCATCGTGCCTGGTTTTGAGGGTTGAGATGAGGGGTGCTAAGCAAAGGAACCCCACTGCCCCCCAAAAATGTTCACTTCATGCACAGACTCACACGTTGCATCTGCTCAAGGGAGATGGAGCACCTCAAAGGGAGCCAAGAGCTCCTCTTCCCCCACCGCTGGAAAGGGGGGTTTGCAAACATTAGCTCAACCTGCGGATGGAAAATCCGCGGCCGGTAGCTAAGAGAAAGCGTTGAGCCCCAGAGCCACATGCAGAGCATTTGCTCGAGGGCAGACAGCATGGTGGCATCCCAGGAGACTCGACAGATGTCCCCCAGGGACCTGGCAGATGCCACTAGCCAGCTCTGGA